GAGAGATGAACGAGAATGGCTCGCCACGGCCTGCCCCAACACCAGCCGTTGCGGGCACACCTCCCGCCGAACCGCAGCCACAAGCCGCTGATGGCGCTTCTTCGCCCCCCGACGCTGAAAAGTTATCACCTCCACCAACTGCCGCTGGACCCACTCCGTCTTCGACGTCTCACAGTGGCACGTCATCCTCTACAGGGAACGTGAAAGCCCTAGACCCGTCGCAATCACAGCCACAGCTGCAGTCCGCACGCGACGCGAAGAAGCGCTCGAAATTGACACCGGACCAGAAGAAAAAGCTACAGGTCCTCGATGATGAACGGCGGAAGAACATGGAGGAACGTGTGCGCTTGCTGACGGAGAAACTCAAAGATCGCTTGCGACCGTTCGTAGATGCAAAACGCCCTGGGGACAAGGAGGATCCGGAAACGATTGCGTTCCAGGAGCGCATGAAGCGAGAGGCAGACGACTTGAAGCTGGAAAGCTTTGGTATCGAGGTGAGTGCCTGGATGTGTCCTTGATGTCGATATATGCGCCGACATGATCCGTGGGATTGGGACGCTAAGCATTTGCGCAGCTTCTACATACTATTGGTAATGTGTACATGATGAAGGCTACTTCGTTCCTGAAATCGAAGAAGTTCCTTGGGATGTAGGTGACAACAACGCGTGCTCTTTCCTCTCTTGCTTAAAATACTTTATGCAGCCCTGGATTCTTCTCTCGCCTTAAGGAGAAGGGTACCGTTGCTAAAGATGCGTGGGGGGTAATCGGCAGCGCGTAAGTCATGGCTAATCGTTTTGCTCTTATCGAGGTTATTTGTTATCACTGTGATCCCTCACATTGCTTTATGCTCACTAGTATCGGCGTCCAACAAGTCATGCAGGAAATGGAGAAGCTACAAGCGAAAGGGGAGGTTGCTGAGGAAGAGCTTCGTGCGCTGGAGGAGGATGTTACCGGGAAGGTGCACGCGACTGATTTCATTCTTTATCATTATAATAATACATATTCAGATCATGCTTGCGTCATGGCGAGGTACACGTTTCGAGGTCCTGCAGGTCGTACGTGAGGTATGAGAACGTTCTCATTCCCAGAGGGTAATGTTGACGTAATTTACAGGTAGTCGACAATGTGTTGAAGGACCGCGAGGCATCAGAGCAGGTGTTGTACAACCGAGCGAAGGTTATACTGTTTCCTCTAAGCGTCACATCGCCTGCTGAACTTTGTCCACGCACAGGGTCTCCTCATCACCGGTGCGATCTTCAAGGCAACAGTGCCCGATGAATCCGATGAGGAGCGCAGGGAGTTGGAACGGTATATATTTTACTTTGAGGTTCCACACTTGTCTAATCCTGTGTTCAGAATGGTGGCCGAGGCGGCCGCAGGCAAGTCAAAACATCATCAGATGCGTGCAGCTGCACGAGGAAAGCGACATACCCATGTCCCTTCTACGACGCCAGTGTCCCCACAGGGTGCTCATAAGGAAGAGAAGGCAGCGAGCTGAGTGGACGCTGTTCGTGTCCAGATCGTTTCGTATCTGCTGTCAGTTGGCGGTGTTGATTTAAAGGGTTCGAGGTCGGTATCTATCCTGGTATACATTAGGTAGTACTTTACATATTATCTGCGTCATCTTCCGAATATTGCTGTCTCAGCTAGTGCTAGTCATCTGCCACTCTCGTCTGTTCTGCTCTATGGTTGGATATTTATACATGGTGGTTGCCCTGCTTGCATTCTCCCTGACTTTGTGGGAGAGCAGCTTGCTAGCAATGTTACTCATCAGAGTGCCCTGGTGCAATATTGCTTCAATGTTCTCTCTACTTATGGGAGACTTCAGTGGAATTTGGAAGCTGAAAATTCTGTGCACATATTGCACTGAAATTCATGCACTTTGGATGTCATTCATAGAAAGACTGAGAAATATGAGGCAACTCATTTGGATATTGGAAAATACACCTTATTCCTCTGACTTGAACAGTGCTACTACTACTGCCTTAGATTGAAGATGATTCAGTAAATGTGCTCTGTTGCATGTCTCGCTTACTGAGCAGTAGGGCCAGTGAGTAGATTGCAAAAATATCCAGTGTTGTGCCTCAATCGGGAAATTTAATCCACTCCCTTGGACATTGGAGGCCGCTCAGCGGTGCATACTATGCATGAGTTCCCCGACCTCGTTGAGTAGCATCACTGTCTGATCTTTTGATGAGCTACGTTGTAGACAGAGGTCTCCCAAATTCCTTTCACATGACCAGAGATTGGCACAAATGGCAGAGTAGGGCCCACCTTTGTGAATATCTGGATGTTGAGTTGAGCCAATCTGTACAGTAGAGCAGTATAAGCTACTCTGCAAAACCATGCAGTACTTTTACAGGGCAGCTATATTGCCCCTTTAGCCCTTGAGAACATCGTGCGCATGTCATTTACAAGTACAGTACTTACATTCACCACACAGACAGGACATCGTACACGGCACCCTCACATTATGAACGGAACGCAGAAAAGTAGCTCTCCACATCCCCGACGTGTTCAAACGGCGCGACCATCCCAACGAAGCCATCCGGGCGCACAACGACGATCGCGCCCGCTTGCGTGTCGATCCCATACGCTGCGTATCCGCCCCCGCCGCTCCGCCGATGCATGTCCATATCATCCACGAATACCCTGGAAACGCGGCGAAGATCGGAATCAAAATATGCTCGTTCACGCAATAGACTTCGCGGCACTCACTTGGTGAAATGTGGCCGGAAGACCGCCGGCAAGCTCCCCAACACGACACTCTCTACAGTCCCCGAGCACACTGTGACGATGTCTACCACGTCCTTGCTCAGGAGTCCTCCCTTCGCGCCCAGTGTGTCCGCGAGCGCCTCCACTCGCGCCTTCTGTGCTGGCTCAGTGACTGCCCCAGCGAAAACGACCAGCTTGAACCGAGTATCCGCAGGGAGGACGTCCTGCAGCTCGATCGGCCGGGCGTCGGCCGGGCGCACGAATATATGCGATGGCATCCGCTGTCCAATATTGAGATTGGACGCCACCTTCTTGTGGGTCGCGTTCGTGAGCATGGAAGGGCCATAGTGCACTCCGATTCCACTCGTGAACATCCCGAAGGTCCGGAAAGCCCTGCAACAGCATGTCAGGAGCGTCGGAGAAACGGAAAGCAGAAGACCCTACTGGATGAACTCCTCGTGCGAGACACCTTCTTGGTTTTCTTCTGTGCGCGGTTTTCCAGAGAAGAGAGCAGAGAACTTTTTGTCAAAGTTGATCAGGTCTTGTGCGTATTTGCGCCGCTCGAATTCGTACTAATGCTGCCGTGTCAGTATGACAGTCCGTTACTCTGCAATATAGAAATCCACTCGCCGTGTCGAGCAGCGAGAGGTCTGCCCATCCGCGGAGTACGTGCGAGAGTTTCCACGCTGAAAGAGACAAATTGAATGGTCGCTACATGCACGCAAGTGGGCCAACTTACCCAAATTATGTGTGTCGTTCATACTCGCGTTCATCCCTTGACCTGCGAGACTCCGTCAACGCTTTACTTTACTATCCGCTATTCAACATACCAGCTTTTGGCGAGTGTGTATGACATGCGTCACCCGCAATGAATACTCGATTGCTGACCGAAAATTTCGACGCAACCCTCTGTCCAACTGCAGCCGGGATTATCATCCGATATCTCTATCGGACTGTTTGCTCACTGAGATAGATTGTCCACCACTCGACCTCCTTCGGCGTTGCAAACGTGTATGGGTGGAACGATTTTCTCGCAACCTCGAGCAGCTTCTCTGGGCCCAAGCGAGACTTATCGATACGGCCGGTGGCGGCGTCGACAGCATCGGTGCCGGTGAGCTGGATATACAGACGAACAGTGTCGCCTTCGCGAGGGATGATCATGCATGAGCCGTTGTTTGAATGGATGGCGCAGCGGTTGCGGATGTCGGGGAAGTCGGTCTCAGGGACGAAGTCAAGCACACCCCAAATGAAGTCTGTGAAGGTGGCCGTAGGGGTGAGAAAAAGATGGGAGGCAGCGGAATGTGAATACTCACCTGTCTGTTCGCCTTCCATAGCAATGCCAAGGGTCTTGCGGACCCATGAATGGGCGCCTAGAGAGTACGACATCCATGTATGCGCCAGATAGGAGGGGGGAAGAGGGACGCACCATCTGCACCGACAACAAACTTTGCATGGACGATCTCTGTTTCTGTCCCCGCTTCTATGGGATCTAAATATTTGAGCACTACCTACGAGACGGGTCATATATCAGCATGGGCTTGTTCTCGTGTCTCCGTAAGCGCCGTGGGTCCGATCAATCACATCTCTGCCCGCAGAAAGGAAGCTCTGGATTCCCAATCTGCGATTGGCCAAACGTAGGCACCCACACCAGATGCCCACGGACTCGGCAGCAATTCGAACGCCACACAAATTTGCGCTCGGTACTCACCTTCACGGGATGGGCATTGGGATCCTTAAGCTCAGCCTCGTCTTGTGACAGCTCGAGGGATGTCGGCACAATCGGGCGTTCGACTTCGACGTCCATTGAGCGCATAGAGTCGAGGAAAATCGCTTCAATAGCTCCTTGATGCAGTGTGATCTGCAACGAAGCCGCATCAGCCGGCATGCATCGTGCAGGAGACGAGTGCGATCGGATACAAACCTCGAAGGGATATCGGGCTGTGGACGCGTTCACGTCGGGTGCTCGGCCTGTTCGCTATCATAGCGAGCGTTGGACGTAATTCACGGATAGCGAGTATCCTGAATACTTACCTCGATCCCGCCATTCGGACTCGGGTTATAGAAGGCCTGGAATGACGTCAGGCACGGAGAGATCATCTGAGCGGGGAGACGCATACAGCCATGTGCATCTGGTTCCCCTCACGCAGCAATCGCTCAGCCAGCCCATAACTCTGAGATGCGGTCAATCATGGGTGGGCTGTCATGCATGAGCAAGCTCACTTGGAATACTTCAATGGTCCGGGGTTGTATGCCGTCTGCTTGCCCCGCCGCGACGCGCTTTGGTCTTGAAGAGACATACCGCCATGAGCCCTCAATGAACGAGATCAAGAGCAGCAACTTACCTCTGATCGACGATCCTCACGTTCACTCCAGCCTTTGCGAGAGCATTCCCACACATGAGCCCTGCAGGGCCTGCCCCAATGATAAGCACATCAACATCGGTTTCCTTCGTGAGAGGGACTGGCATTCTGGATGCTATATGCTATAAACAAAATTGTGGCAGTGAGCTCCTGACTCCCGAGGAGATTGAGTCTGATAAGAATATGAGCGGTAGATGAGGAAGAAAGATGGGGGCTCGAGCAGGGGCTTGAGGCCGGCTTTATATGCGGTCGACCACGCGCGATGGTTGCAGAGTTCGGAGCTAGCAGCATCGCACAGCGAGTCACTAGTGTCATGTCATCTGCTCTCCCTCGACCCTCATCAGCGGCGTCAGGGTCTTTGCCAAACCGCGACCGCCCCCTCTCGCCGCCGCCGTCCGCCAGCTGCTTCGACTTCGCTCTCGGCCCCGATGGCCGGGAGCGCCTTGTCGACAAACTCGCTACATATTGATACTCGCGAAGAGAGACAAAAAAGGGTTCCGACTCGTCACGCCTGGGCGACAAGAGGGATCATGTGGAGGCAGCCGCACAATACGCCGCCTGGCGCCACCAGCGCGCGTGGACGGATGGCTACTATATGCAGTAGCCATGCATCTCGACAAGCCTCCATCAGTCATCATACCCTTGACGACATGCAGTCGAGGCCTCTGTCCATACAACCATCTCTGACAGGCAAGACCCAGGCTTGCCGTTTGCGTCTGGCTTATACTTGGGCCTCGCTGCATTCGGCCTTCGCCCAGCACGCCTATGAGAAGTCGAGAAGAGCGCCCTGGCCGGATATTACAATGAGGTCGAGTCTATAAGTAGATGTGAGTGTCCGCCCGGTGTCACGTTCAGCAGATCGTTCTACACGCGGTGGAGCTACGCTGTCGGAATTCGGCTTGACCCTCTCAGTCGTCTTGGATTTGTCGACTCTCTTGGGTATGGGAAGTGGTACTGTAAGTTCGAGCTAGCTCCGGTCTCGATTTTGATTTTGTTCATCCATGCTATTTCGTCTCAGGTTGTCTAGATTCTCCAATGCCACAACTGTCGCTGTCGTGGGAATTATATGCACATCAATGGCTTCGTAACAATCGACAGGGCCTGCATATTAAGGGTTCTGAAATTCAAAGCTACTATGACCACGTCTCATTGCTCCGGTGTCGTGCTCTCAGCCTCGTGCAGCTCTTGAGGCAAATTGAGATGCCAGTGGTCGGCGTTGAGACTCCTAAATTGACTCTATGATGACGTCTCAAACCGTCCTGAATCTGTTTGCCCCACCCCTTTGGCGACCCTGGCGACCGTTCATCGTTCAACCCCGGTTCCATGAAAGTTGGATCAGATGATCATCCGTCGGTGCAAGCTTCGACTTTATGGAGTGGACTTTTGGCCGCGTACAGTTCTCCTTGACCAAGAGGCATCTTTTGTTTGTGGACAGGCTCAGACATCTCAGACATCTTACTTCATAAAACGTATGCTCGCGCATCCTCACATACCTTGTAGTATCCCTTCATCGATCATTTTCAGTTGGCTATCTTCAAATGTATTTCAGAAGACGCGGAGGTGCCCGGATCCAATACGTTACGGATGAGCCCTTCTGTCGAACCGAAGTGAAGAAGCTTCTACAGCATTTCACGCATAGTATTGGTTAAATGTGGGGTCTGGGAGGGAAGGAGGGTACGCTCAAAATTTCCTGGCGGTGTTGGGCTGTACATCTGACCACGAACGCTATTAGAATTTTCTTGGTATCCTGGTCCAGGTACGGTTCACCTAAGACGTAGCATCGTGGCCATTCTGAGTAACATAATCTGATTCGAACAAATAACGCATCCATGATCCACCAACTGATCCTTCCTCTCGAAAACTTGGATGGGTGCTTTGTTCGCAGTGACCGCAGCGAATGAATCTGACTTGATAAGTGATTTCAATTTCTGAACTGATACTATCACTCTTCCCAATGCGGCTCTATCTCGCCATTAGCTGGGTTTTGGGCGGCGTCGACTGGTCTTCTTAGACTCTAGATGGATGATGGCTGGACTTGTGGCCAGACGCTTCCGAGAAATTTTCTCATATCAACTACGGCTGGGCGCTACTTGCCAGTCCATTGTCGCTGTTGACAATTCGTCATCCATATCCTGAACCTTGTGGAAGCCGGTTGATCGGAGGAAACCAACGGAAGTTTGGTGAGAACTCAGACGTGCACCATCGGATATTCGAATCCCAGGCGACGTGTAAACTTAGCATCACAAGTAGTCTGCTCATACCGAATGAATGCCAATCCGCCAGGGTGTTGTATTGACAGTACGACTACAACTACAAGATCAACTAAGGTGTCTCAATGTCGAATCGTTCTGGTAATGCTGATGTCCTTTAGTTAGATTCGCCGGACGTGGTCTCGGGCTCAGGCTCATGTGCATTGTGTGTGTAGTTACCACCGTCCAGAGCCATCCATCATAGAGTGCAGTCATGTCTCTGTCGTGCTACTCGATTGTCGTGGGAAAATACCACTCCTTGTCAAAAGGATTCACAGCTACAGCTGGACTCAGCCGCCTGTTGTGGCCAGACAAACAAAACTGTTTCACGGGCAGTTTGATGCAATTGCTTATGCAAAGCGCTGTACTTAGGGCCCAGGGCCGGAAGGTGCAGTAGATCAACTTCTCTCCTCTTCGTACCATTTGGAGCCACTGAGAATTTCCAGTATTCTAGATGGACAGAGATGTATTCCCAACGGCTATCAGTACAACTGACACCCATTGGTTTGACCCTGGAGATGAATCAGATACTGATTAGGACAGTACTCGGGAAGGGCTCATTCTAGAGGGGTGGACCGATCAGCTACACCTGACTCGTCATATGGTCCAAGGAACAATCCAAGATTCGGAGATGCACCAACCTTTACCAAATTGGATGGACGGGCATGGGTTTTCTACAGCTACTGACGAGTGGCATAGATGTACAAAACTCGAAGATGCATTCAATCCTAAATAATAATGTCCATCTTGGGCCTATCCATTCTAGTTTTGATGCAGTTTAGAACACGGTCGACCTGGAACTGCCTGCCATCACATCAGCGAGGCATAGACCAATGTGAGTGAACTTCAACGCTTCAGATGAGCATGTTTGACCCGGTGCACCAGCTGCAGACGGCTGAGTCTGAACTTCCATAGATGGCTCGTTCCCGAGCTGGATATTTCGTGAATTTTTGTGGACTGAATTACGTCCGCTATGCAGAAGGTCAATGCAGACCGGTGCAATAAGGTCCCACCACACCGAGCTTATTCTAATTATACTCGGACGAGCCACGACATCTCGGACCCGGCGCAGAGCACGTAAGTGCGGCAAGGACAATGAGTGAAAACGCACACTGCGGTAAGTTATATGAGATAACGCAATGTCACAGCTGTACACATATCACGGTCTTCTTGTGTGCATTTGCTATATATACGATGCCATGTTTACGTTCAGGTGTGCGCAAGAGGTCAAGCCAGAAAGGTATATCTCATGGTGCTGTGATTCACTTACTATCTCAGAATCCACACAACAGATATAATTTGGAGGAGTACTGAACGTACACTGTCCCACCATTCTGCGCAAGTTCGATCTGTTCTTGCCACCATGTATGCTCTACAAGTCGTCTGCGCAACTGAAATCTCTGTCCACAAATCCTGAACATGGAGTAGATGATGAAGACCAAGACCTTGCATTCCGAAGTGATGGACTGCATCATCGATTTTCTCCTCGGCGACCATGCCTCGTTATACACCTGTGCGCTTGTGTGCCGAACATGGCTCCAGAGGAGTTGCTACATTTTATTTCGTATAATGCACTTGACAAGCTCCTCGCAGGCCCTATCACTCATGCGCTTACTGCGGCTTCCACTCAAGCTTTCTTTCGAGGGTCTGCGCGAGTTTCATGTCACCGAGGACCGGAGCCCGAGTGGTCGCGCATTCGTGCACTATGCGGACGTCTATTTTGCGCACGCTGTGTATCACAGGGTTACAATGGCAGGCCACGATTTTGCACGCTGACTGTCCATTTTGCATGTCTATGTCACAGCTCGTGTCCCTCACGATGCTCTCGTTGAACAATTGCAAGGTTTTGAATTTTCAGCAGTTCCAGCGGCTAGTGTATCCCCCCTCTCGACTGTCACATCTCAGGCCGTCCCATGATACGGGATTGCCCCATAGAAAATCTTGTTCTCCATGAGTCCATAGACTGTATCTCCATCGACTCGAGATGGACGGCTGCGCCCCGGAAATATTTACCCAGCTGCTCCGCTGGCTTCCTACCATCCCCATCCATTGCTCCGTCCATATTTCTTGTGCCGACTATCTCACAGCAGCAGGAAGATGTTAGGAGAAGTGCTCGCCGCGCTGTCGTCGGCAGCATGTATTTCTAATCTCCAGTCAGACTGTGAGTTCAGCCCGCCCGTTCATGGATGCAATATAGACCGACAGGCTGCCCCTCCAATTATAGATTACTGGATCTACGAATTAATGTCTGACATACTGTTCCACCAGGCCGTACTCGTAGTAGAATACCCTGATATCACGCCACCGACTGTATTTGCTGTTAATCTTCATTATGACATGTACCTCGAGTATGTAAAGAACTTGAAGGCTCTACTCATGACATGGTTTTGCATACGGACGCGCCGTCTTACGAAAATCCCACATAAAGTGTTTTCAGAGCAGCACATGATGATGATAATATCTTGCCGCTGCACCTATTTCATAGCCTTCATTGACATGTCATACCCATAATTGGACAAACACTGCTGTCCAACACTATAAGTACCAGAGTTGATTCCTCCCTAACGGCGACGCCCACTGGCACTGGCACTGCGTCGCTCGACTGGCAGGAAGTACTAGTGGTGCGGACGGGCTGGCATTCAGCATCTGTCGGGATTTTTCCTGTCTTGAGGTAAGCCTCTTGAACAGAATAGCGGCAATGCGTTGTACACAGGCATGAAAACTTGGCCATAAACCTGGCGCTGAGCAAGGGTGTAATTTCAAGTTTGATGAGGGAGGTGGTGATTACGTAATTGATTGGGCGGGCATGAAACGGAGGCTCTGCTGGGAACTTGAGACGCTATTCTGACTCTGCGGACACATGCATATTGCTGCGCGACCATAGTACAAGCTACATTTCAACCTCCCTATCTTTATTCTTTCTACTCTTCTGAAGGGGCCCATGCCCGGTGTTGCCATCCTACCACCACCATCGTCTGCACTCAGGTTGCCACCATCAAGCATGCAAAATGGCGTGGGCTCTTTCCATGGCGGGACTGTGGCGGATATCAAAGAGGTAGCAAAGGAGCAGGCAAAGAAGGTCCGCGGCGCAACGGCCATATCGTTGCTCAAGGGTGCACGGTCGCAAATTCATCATGCAGACGACTGCGAGCTAGCTGGGGACCTCAAGGGCGCCCTCAGCGCCATTACCAAGGCCGTCTCGCTCGTGCAGATGTTCATGGATTCAGCAGAGTTCAAGATCGAGACCCAGCCGGGCCGCAAGGGTGTGCTCGTGAGGGATCTGCTTGATTTCCAGCAGGTGTGTCGTCCCGTGCAACCCGCAGGTCATGCAACCTTTGCTCACGCGCGCAGCACGAGGGCCGCGACCTCAAAGGCAAGATGGAGAGCGTCGAGGCAAAACTCGTCGAGGCGGAGAGATCGTCGCAGCAGTATGTGTCTTTGCTCTCAGCTTGGCCACAGTCTCTCACATATATACCTAGGGACTCTGCTCCAGACACACAGGTTGAAACGGGCGCCATACGTTCACCAGGCGGCAGTATCGCTGACCGGATGCGTTCGCTAGCAAGCGCAGGACTTGCTGTTTCGACCACAAAGCGTTTCTCGCGCGAGGTCGCGCCCATTACGTCGGCCTCAGTGGCACCACCACTACAGCCGACACCGACTTCGGTAGCTTCCGATGCGGTCCTCCGACCCAACAGGATCTCGCTGCAGAATTTGCCGTCTCTTCCAGCCAACTTTGCTGCCTCACTTGCTTCACCCGTTGTTAGCTCCGCAGCGCCTGTGCTAGTGCCTACTTCAAGCTTCGGCCCGCCTTCACCCACTTCATCTACGTCGTCCTCCCCTCGCGTGTCTCATCTAAGTCTGTCGGACTTTACACAGGCATTCCCGTCGATCGACGAGCTAGACGAGGCAGACGGGCTCCGACTGTCGTCAGTGCCGACTGGTTCGAGTAAGCACTCTGTCGATCGGCCGTTGCCATACGTGCAGCCCAAACCGTTCCCTGCCCTACCCATGGACTATGGCCCGCGGCCTTCGAGCACTCCCATTCCTCCGACGATCGATACATTCGCGAGCCGCCCCGCCTCGCCTTCGCGTTCCCCGATGTCGCCTACCGTCCCCCGCAAGCCCTCTGGACTGTCTCTCAAGTCATCTGCATCAAGATCGCCGATCCTCCCAGTCGCGACACCGATCACCGAAAAGCCGCCGGACCTTCCTGTGTCCACCACACTCTTTCCAAGGACGCTGTTTGACTACAACAACCGAAGCAACTTCAAGGTGCTCGTGTTGGACGTGCGCACGCGAGAAGAGTTTGATAAAGAACACATAAAGGCAGATGCGGTTGTATGTATTGAGCCGACAGTGCTCCTACGAAGCGAGTCAGTTGTTGTTCGGCTTGCTGTTCGTGTCTGGTGTCGAGATCAGCTAACGTCATATCATGCAGCGTTTCTCCCCAGAGCATTGAAGATTCCCTTGTCGTAGCCCCCCGAGACGAATGGGTCCTCTTCAGTAACCGCGACAAGTTTGACTTGGTGGCTATTTACGATAACGACTCAGAGACATTTGGGGAATTAAGCTCTCCGCTGTCTTCGCTTGTTAGAGCAATTTACGAAGTTGCTTTTCGTAAGTTCCTGAAACATTCCCCGATGTTACTCGTAGGAGGTCTGCAGGCGTGGAAGAAAGAATTTGGAGAGGCGGAGCTGGTTCGTGGCAGTACGAGTGGGTCGACGCCGACGGATTCGGCGAACGTCAAGGGGTTGGTAAATGGGCTGGCATCAGTGAACATGAATGGGACAACATCTCCCTCGCCTTCTTATGCGGAAATGAAAAGTCCATCTATAGGTCATATTAGGGCGCCCGCTGAGACTGGCTTTTCTACCACCTCAGGCACTCCCGGGCGCCTCCGTTCTGGTACGGAACCGCATGTTGATCCCAACGCGCATAAACCCTGGTTGCCCAGCTCGCCTGATCCTCAACTTGCTCAGAACCAGATTCCTGCGTCTATGCGGTGAGTAGATAGAGTAGTTTGTCTTGTGCCAATGTGTTTAACTATTAATGCCTCAGGTCAAGTATTGATGGTCCGCTTTCTCCCACATTCGATAAACGGCTGGCGCGCAAATCCGCGATATCGCGGCCACCGTCAAATTCAATTTCCTATTCGCACAGCTCTTCCCCTGCTATACCTGAACATGTGGGTCTTGAGTCATACTTTTCCTGAGCCGGAGCTGACATAGATCCAGGCTCCAACACAACACTTTTCCCCTCCTTTAGTCAACGGTACCCCGGCCATCCAATACCCAGCTATGTCACGGAATATATCCCCTCAGCTATCAGGCTCGTCATTCTCCTCTGCTCCGTTGAACGGCGTTGTCTCTATGCCCCCTCAAGCGTCCATTAATCCGTCACCACTGTCACGGCGGAGGAGCGATTACATTGACCAATCTCAAGAAGCTCTGTCCGGTCTTTCTTCGCGTGGTCCTATAGACTACCCAGACTTGTCATCGCAACATGTCCTGCGCCCGCCGCCCGCTGCGGCTTCCTCTGTCCTTGAGAGGCAAGACAACCGCCCACGGCTGATGCAGACTCAATCGTTCAAGCTTGGTCCTAGGCCGCCGACGATCCAGTCCGACTACCCGGTCACGTACTGGGCTGATACGCAGATTGGGACTTCGGGGCTGAAGAATTTGGGTAACACGTGCTATATGAATTCGACGATCCAGTGTTTGAGCGCGACCGTGCCGTTCGCGCGGTTCTTTACTGGTGCGTATGTAACCAGTAAATCCATGTCATCGTGCCTAAATATGTTCGTTACAGACGGACGATGGAAGAGTGCTGTCAACATGATGAACCCGATGGGGACGAAGGGGAATCTTGCACATGCTTTCGCCAATATTCTCCGAGATATGTGGCAGGGCGAGTTGCAGTGTCTGTCCCCAGTTACATTCCGTGTACGCATTCAGCCAGTCTCCAAAATGCTGAGCTGACTATCTTTGCAGCGATCATTATGCCAGTACGCTCCCCAATTTGGCGGGACGGAGCAGCACGATTCGCAGGAGTTCCTCAACTTTCTGCTCGATGGCCTGCATGAGGACCTCAATCGGGTGCTACAAAAACCACAAATAGACTCAACACCCGAAAGAGAGGCCGAGTTAGAGAGGCTACCTACGCAGATTGCCAGCGAGCAGGAATGGCAGATCTGGCGGATGCGGAATGACAGCCTGGTCGTAGACTTCTTCCAGGGTCAGTTCCGCAACCGACTGGAGTGCCTCACGTGCCACAAAGTACGGGCCTTTCTATTTGTGCTCTTCACTCATTCCTTGGCTGATCTGCTACCACAGACCTCGACCACTTACAACACGTTCATGTACCTTACTTTACCTATTCCTACCAGCCGAAGTCTATCCAAAGTGTCACTGTCCCATTGTCTGGATGCCTTCGTCAAGGAAGAAGTGATGGAGAAGTCAGATGCATGGTACGTCGAGTCTCCGATCGACTCAGGGCAACCGCGTTGATACATTGAGATCAACAGGAACTGCCCACATTGTAAGACGCTGCGCAAGGCGACGAAGAATCTGTCGCTATCGCGATTGCCTCCTGTGCTTCTGATCCACCTAAAGCGCTTTTCGTCCAAGGGTCACTTCACAGATAAGATTGAGACGTTCGTCGACTACCCCCTGCGGGGCTTGGATCTCACCAACTACATGCCCCCTCCACTACCTCCTGGGGTGAACGCGGGCCCTCAGATGCCGAGAGATGATCCACGCGCGCAGATACCACCGTACCGGTACGACTTGTACGGTGTTACCAACCACTTTGGCACGCTGAGCAGCGGACACTGTAAGCGATTCATTCGGGATTAACTATCTGTGCTGTGCTGATCGGCTGTCAGATACCGCATTCATCTCGTCTCGCGGCGGATGGCTCTATTGTGACGATAGCCGTATATCACAAGCAGACCCGAAAGACGTAGTGGTAAGTCGGATACGAGCCCAGTGGTTGTTATCGCTCACGCCTGTACCCAGGGAAAGCCCGCGTACATGTTGTTCTACAAGAGGACGAAAGCATAATAGGACCAGAGATATTTACCTGTTGCATCTTTCTTTGAGTTATCAGTTCTGCTGTCAGTTGTATCTTCAGCCCAATCCCCACTGCATTGGATAATCCCTCTATGACAATAGTACATGTAATGGTTTATGTGCGGTTCTAGTAGTGAGGCGGCTCTCGTTGACTTCAGTGTAGCATCTATGGCAGAGCCAAGTCCGCGTTCCGATGTGTGATGAGGAAGATACGCCGTTGGTCTGCGGCGCAGGAGCGGGGTGGAAGAAGGGAGAGAACTCGCTGTGGCATTGGTAACATTGGGGGCCGCTGGAGAACGCAAGATCCTCGTCAGGCGTCGAGATGCTGTCGACGCTGGCGTTGAGGATGTTGTCGAGCCGTCGCGCCTTTCGGAGCAGACCGTGTGTCTGCGCAGTGGCTACCTGCTTGTAATTCCTGCAGTAAACCTGCAGCGCGGTCTGACGCGATCCATGAGGGACAACTCTGACTCTATAGTATCACGACGGCGTACCTCTCCCAACTCATTCGTCTCACAAATATCAAACAGCTCCCGCCGGTGACCGATATGACCTTTGCAGATCACGACCGGAGACATGCATCCCGTGGCATCCAGGAAGTCTATCGCAGTGGTCGTCTCTCGTCTGCTGTGCTTCACCTGCTGATACATCAGGTCACGACATCCCAACCGCGGTCAAGTAGCAGCCTCACCGCCTGAAGCTCGAATCCAAACTTGTGTCCCTGCCTCCACGCACACGAAACGTGGTACTCGGCCGGGCACTCGCTACATCGTATCACGGCTCCACCACTCTCGTTGCAAATTGTACAGCTCTGCGAAACAAACTGAAGCTGAGCTGCAAATCGGAAGAGATCGGTGAAAGCGCACATACATTTGACCATCGATAATGTGGTATCATGCTAATGCCCTCTACCAGCCTAAGCCGCGTTGCATCAGAATAAAATACTTCCGGCATGAATACAGAGCACAGGACATGGACCCATGCTTGACCCTCGGTAGGTTTACAAGCCCGCAAATATGACTCGGGTGATGGGTATATGATCTTTGCATCTCTCTTCACTCGGGGACAGAGCAAACAATCAGGTAGCTGAGCAACAAACGTTACATCATGCATACACGCGTCTCGAACTCGAACATGACGCACCAGGGATGCCTCCAATGTCTTCTCATTCGCACAAAGTTCACAGACCCACGATTCCACCGTCGCAGCATCGACAATGACGCCGCATGAACCTAGCAATCTCAGGTAAATCGTTATAACTATCGGGTTACCATACACCCGACGCACCTGCATGCACGCGAAACTGACATTGTCTGCACTTCAGCACCTTGGCAGGCGGGCCTTGCTTCTGGCAAGCAAGGCAGCGCAACTGGGGCGCGGCGGGTGCCGGCCCGGTAGGTGGTGGCGTCGACTGTACCGAGGACTCTGTCTGCACCGTAGCTCAACCTCGTCGCTCACCCCCACGCAGCACCGATCGAAACTCACCTTGGCACGCTTTATCGACGGGCCATTCAATGGCGTCCCCTCGCGCTTGTCCCCTGGTTTACCGATGACCTTTGTCATCACTTCCTCGCGCATCGGGCGTACGTTCAGATCGCCGTACTTGCGCCAGCTCTGGCCACAGTTGTCACAGAGTACGTTCGTCTGCAGACCCTTTGGTGCCTTCCACCAGACCTCCGACTCGCGTGTGCGGCAGCAGGCGCAGCTGATGTTGGGACGAGACGGGCCGCGCACGATCGAGCCCTCGTCGTCGGGACTCACAGCGCGGGACGCAGACGGTGCAGTGTCGTTCAGGCCGCTGAGACGGGCGGCCTTGATCCTGGCGTTCTCTTCGCCAAGCTTGGAGCTGATAAGAGGATGGCGAGTTATGCATGCTGTCATAGAGAAGGATGTCACCGCAACGCACCTCTTCCAGTGACCATAGAAGCGCACGACTTCTGGCATGGATCTGGTGCCAACCTCTTCTCGGACTGGACGCAGCTCCGCACCATGCGCGGCGATAGCATCTTCGAAAGCGGCTATCTCCCCGTTGGTCCATTCCTTATCGAGATATCGAGTCTCCGATTTCTTCCACTGCCCTCGCGCATTTCAGATAAATGAGGAGCAGGTGAAGGGGCGAACCAACCTTCTCAAGCCGTGTTGGGCTCTTCATGCTGACAGTGGCGAGATCGCGGCCAGCCGCCCAGGCCTCTGAGAAGCGGCGTATGGTCTCTGTGAGCCAGTCCACGCTGCATTTGAGCGCTTCGGTTTTGGTGAGAGTATTCTTGCATGTGTCCACTGTCAATGCCAGTATTTCCGCATCAGTTCGGTCGGCTACAATTCATAAGGCGTGTCACGCACTGAATGTCACTGGGGAAAACAAGCATAAATAGGATGAACAGGAAAGGAAGTCTCCCGCGCACCTTCGGTGGAACTCATTTCTCCGACAAGACCAAACACTTCAACTGTCGAATCTCCGCCTCTTTCCTCCAGATCTTTGAGGACGAGTAATTGAAGTAATTAGGAAGCGACAGTTTGATTTCTTACCTGGATGTACATGTGGGATGTCGAGGCCTGGTGCGAGAGGAACGACTGCCTGGTACTTCGGACCCACGCGGGTCGCAGCGCGTGGGAAGATGAAGTCGTCGGGGTCTACAATCCTAAATGAGCGTGGAGACCTCCCAAAGGGAGCCGCACTCACCGAGCGTGTCTTCGGCGACGGTATATTGTCTGATAAAGTGGTCAACAACACGGCGAGTTTCATTCACACGCCGCCGGAACGCACCCAAAGTATCTGAACGGCCACATTTTGAAATGCTTGATCTCCATATTCTCCTCCTTCTCTGCTTGTAGGCGGTCCTTGCGCGGCCGCCCCCGGCCCCGGGCCGCGGGAGCATTTGTCTTGACCGGCTTCGGCGCTACCACGGGAGTCAGTTGGCGGACGCCCTCGTGGCCATCGACTTCTTCCTCGTGCCTCCGCGAGCACGGTGCGCACGTCCAGCCGTATCCTCTGCTGGGCTTCGCCAGCAGCGGCGGATTGACGCACCCCATGTGGAAGAATTTCTTGCACCGGTCGCACTGCACGGTGTCGAGTCTGCAGGGCGTCAGTCCGTCAGTCAGCACGGACGGAGAGATCCGGGCGGGGCTGTGTGGCTCACGGTGGGCACCACTTTGCGCACGTCTCGCAGTGGCGAAGCATATCAGTGAGGTCGGGCACGACTTCCTTCTCTGCCACGACATATTCGTAGCGCTGGATCAGGATGTCTCTGATGTGAGCAGGCACTGACCCAGGCTGTCAGCGCGCGTACACTACCATACTCGGCGTTGACATACGATTCCGCACAGTCGTCGCCGGGATGACCTCGTATTCCTTACGGATCCACGGGTCGAACAGACGAGTGAAATAAAATCTGTCGGGCCGTTTCTTCCAGCCTGCGAGGTCCGAAATCTTGTCCCGGTGGATGACATAGCATTTTGAGCGGACTTGGCCAATGTCGCATACTTCGGAATATATGGCCGCCAGCAGAAGGCGGCAGTCGGCCGTGGGGCGGTCGCTCACGTCGCCGGGGCGATAATACCAGGCAAGGCGGACGCGGGTCAGCGGCTCGCTGCGATTTCCGTCGTTGTCGAGTGTGGGAACTCCCTGCGCTGGGAGAAATTCCATGATACGGGCCACCGAGTAGGGGGTGCCGTCCCGCACGGCCCAACTGGGGGAGCAGTAGACATGATCTGGGAAAAAATCAGCTTTCTGCCCTCGGAAGTTGATCAGACAGCGGAGATGCACCGTTGACTTTTACTTGCTCGCCATTCTTGAGTGTGATGCAAAAACCGGGGGTGGAGGGCACCATCGCTAGCGCTGGGCAAGAGGGCTGCGGGTCTGGGGAAAACGAAGCAAAAATATAGAGGGGATGTAAATAAAAAGCACAGAACAAGCTGTGCGTGCGAGCCGGGGACAAGGCTCGAAATTGAGGGGATGGCGGCGGGGATGGTGGGGGGACGAGAGGGAGATGGGTACTTGCAGGCCACCAAGAAAGCCGGATCTGTTCAGTGCATCTACGAGATTCAACTCCGACGCTCGTACGCGGAACAACCTAGAACTTAAATAATGCCTCCTCTCTTTCCTCCCTCATCGGCCGCCCTCCTCAACCACCCTCGGCCCTTTCTCTTCTACTCGGCCTCGACTGGATTATCAATCCCAGCATCTCGCACATTTGTCTGAGCTCATCCGGTGTCCCGAGCCTGTGCAGCTAGCGCGGGGGTTGCCACAGCTGTCGCCTACGCCTCCCGCAATTTACTTGCCCTTTTTGTGTACCACGGGCGACTATGTAGTGCCGTCAGTGTTTCCTTGTTCTCTCCCTTTTCACAGCCCACCACATTAATTCGTTTCCCGGCGTCTCAGATGCAGAGCATCGCGCGGATGCGAGCCACATCGAGACATCTTTTGCAACTGCCAACTGCCCTCCATACAAAATGTCAACAGCGGCCGCGGCGAGGGTGGCCACGCCGACAGCTGCAACCATGACAGGATTACGTAAACACAGTCGCCACCCTCGGCATGCCCCGGAGTGGCGCCTTGATCACTCCTGATTGGCTGATTTGCATACATCTCTGCCCCCGGCTCGGCCGGCAGTTGTAGGCTGCAGCCCACCTGCCACCGCTGTTCACGCGCACACAGCACACATGTCGCACCGATTGCCCGTGAACAAAAAGCGGGCTATCTCTTATGAGGACGGGCTCTATTCTCCTTGAGGTTTCATTCACGGAAGATGGTCACATTCAAGCGGAGATTCAATACCGACCTCGAAAGCCTCCCGAATCAGGATCCTTCGACTTCGAACATCTTTGATATGCTTTACGAAATCAGCTTCCATCCTCTCTGGGACACAAGTCGTTTATGAAGTCGGCGAGAGAAGCTATATGTGTCCGGACAGTGAACCTTGATCTCAGACCCTTGTCGACCTTTCTTTGACTGGTGCTCGTCGCAAGAATGAACAGAGCTCATCCCTGAAGTATCTTGAAACTGGCTCACGGTGTGTTGACACACCGGAAAATCTTTTGGAGCTTGAGTGCCTTCTTGGAAGCTGCCTGTCCGGCTGCAAAGTCTAGTCATCCTTGAATTTTACCAGCTTACGGCAGTACTTCGGCCAGTCTGCGAACTGACAAAGGAGCTCGATGTAAGCCTGGATTCACCGACACGCCACAGCTCGCTTTTGAGGCACGTCAAAGTCAAGTTCGATCGCACATAATATACATAGCTCGTGAAGACATGTACCACAAGTCAACTATGATCGGTATCAGGCAAAAGAAATGTGTACGGTAGATGGTGAAAGGTGTAGCTAACGCTATGATGCAGGTGTAAGGATTACTCGTGTATGTTTGTAGAAAGTGGATACAAATGGTCTCAATACATGCTCATTACAGATAGCGCGGCGTACGATGCGAGTGTTCCCCCGAGAGCAAAAAATGGATGCTTGACGTTGCGACAACAAAACCCAAGATAGCAAGAGTCAAAAATATCAAGGCATAACATATGACGATGATCTATGGTCATGATGGTGGTGGTGCAAGCGATGCAGATGATGTGGGTGGTAAGTGCTGGTGCTGGTGCTGGTGCTATGGGGATAGTTGCTCGGTCCCTGGCGGACCCCGTTTTCGACGTTCGTCGGCAATGGCTAGCATGCTTTTCAGGCTTTTCTCCAGAACCGGCTTTGTCAGGACGCTACAACATACGCTAATCAGCATGACAGCAAACAAGAACGCAGACTACCACATACTGATCTGCCCCCGCTTCCAAATACTCCTGCTGGTCCGTGAGGAGCGCGTTCCCTGTACCACGCGTCAGACATATAGCGCCCCCGAGCACCGCACACTTACCAGTCACGCCAACGACGAAATCCCTCCTCCCCATCTCCCTCAATTTCAACACCGCGTCCAGCCCCGACAGCACCGGCATCTGGTTGTCCAAAAATACCACAGCATACCGAGGCTCATCGGGCGCTGGGACAACCTCCATCGACAAGCCTGCGCTGCCCGTGTCCTCCGAAGACGGCGTCGCGCGCTGTCCCGTACCCAATATCATCTCCAGCGCCATTTCTCCGTTCTCCGCCGTGGACACCCTACACCCGATCCGCGTGAGCATGCGAGACATGAGCTTACGCGTTAGCGGGTCGTCGTCTACCACAAGCACGCGCAGAGGTCCCTCCTGTATACATGACGACGACGTGGCTTGTGTCGACGCAGAGCATGCCGAGGGCGACAGCGGGGGATCCAGCGAGAACGTCTGTGGTTTGGGCAGCTGTGACAGCTTCGGTCGCATCATCCCCGTTGGGAATTCCTTCATCGCCGAAGGCGTATCCGGGACCGCTGGCGGCGTGATATCATCCACAATGCCGGTTCCGGTGGACGGATCGCCGATCGTCCGTGTGACGACCAGCTGTTGTTCGCCGCGCTTGGAGGAGATCTCAACCATCCCGCCTGAGTGCGCAGTGTGAAAATCATAAAGACGGCCTGCCAAACGAGCTACTTACCTTGCTCCATGATACTGTGCAACGCCGAGGACGAGTTCGAAGGTCCAAGTGCAGGAGTACGCGCGTTAGGAGAGTCTGGAGCGGAATCAACTTTTTCGCACGCGTATGACTTTGCTGTCTTCGTCATCACTGAGGGTGTCTCACTTTCGTCACAGAAGTTGGGAGTCGTCAATGCAGGAGTCGCTTTCATGCCGATGCCCAGCGCTGTGATCACTGAGGTTCAGCCACGTGAATCAATCCAGGGTCCGGAACAACTTACGCAGTTCCACCCAGAAAGTTGAACCTTGCCTAGCTTTCGACTTGACACCTAGTCGCCCGCCACTGAGTTTGACAATCTGGCGTACCAAAGCGAGACCAAGACCAGTGCCCTTCCCTCCCTGCAGCCGTCCCTGTTCCGTCTGATTGAAGGCGGCTGGCGAAAATTTCTGTTCATATAAACACATGAAGACATAAGACCTTACTCACAGAAGAGCTTGCTCTGCACCATGTCCTGCGGCCGGATTCCATATCCAGTATCAGTCACTTCAATGCGAACCACTATCCACTCGACCGGCGGGGGCTTAGAATGTATTGTGTTATGCTGTGTGAGAAGGGATGTTGACAGCCGATGCGGCAGCAGAGGTGAATGTCCCTCCTTGCCTACAGGACTGATTAGCAGAGATCAACGGGAAAAATGTTTCACACACAATCCCACTGTGTGGGTAATTTGAGCGACACTGATGAGTGCGCCCTTGGATCTGAAGTAAATTCGTCCACAGCTGTAGTTGTACACGTCTCGTCCAGAGAACACGAGTGTTGCGGAAGGACCAGTCGTGTCGAGATGGTGAGCTTGCCGCCCGATGGCGTGAATTTGCAAGCGTTACTGCATTGACGCGCTCAGAATGGACATTATGATCGCAGCGTAATTCGGGCTTACCTTGCCAAATTAGTGATGATTTGGCGCAGACGAGTCTCGTCGCCAACAACAATGCCATCTTCTTCAGGATCCTGAGCGACACGTTTATTGATTGCTCCATGACTTTCCCCCAGTGCCTCGTACAAAGCACGCCTCGCGATCTGGGCAACAATTGGGGTACGATCGTGAGCGTCAATAACACCCAATACCATAGCAGGAAATGTACATACCTCGTCAATGTGAGGATCCAAGTCCGTGACAAATTCAAGACCGCGAGCGTCGGTAGCAAGCTGCAATGGAACGAACATAGACCGCATGACTTGATGGAATGCATATGGCTAGAAGGTTTTATGAATGACGTAAGTGAAGAAGCCTTTGGCCGCACAAACGGACCTTATGGACAGACTCGAAGCGCCCACTGTCCATGCGATTGCTGCTGGAACATCAGACGAAATGAAGAAGGCAGCATGTCAGCAAACTCACAAGTCCAAAACATCATTCAACACTGAATGCTTATTCAGGACACATGTGATTGCATATGAAGATTAAACGTACCTTTTGACATCATGCTCAAACTCCCTTCCAGCGCCTTGAACTCGATCTCCTGAGCCTTCGCAACTGAGCCATACGCCTCCATATTCTGCACTGCAAGCACTGCGAAATGAGATATTAACATCATTAGCGTACAAGATCTCATCTACAAGAATTGCTCACATGCAGTGTTCAGTGGAACTCGGACCTGTGGAAACCAATTATGATAAGGAAACACTCTCACAGGACACCCGATCAATGAAAACTTATCATGAAAAACATATCTATAAGATCGGTAAATGGTCAGACGAGAAGCATGAGCTACAATGACGTAGCACGCACGACGTGAGCCGTCGTTTCGAGTCTGCCGCTTTACGCTCATTGACCTGGGCTTTCTGCGTAGCGCGGAATTGTATCTTGAGCTGATCCCGGAGTGTGTACAACCTTCGCTCAGCCTACACGCGAAATTGGTTTGCAGGTTAGGTAGTGTAGCGGAATCTACTCACGTTTTCACGCATATAGTGTATGTAAAGCAAGAAAACCTGGAAAGATATGAAGTTGGCGAGATCTGTGCGCATACGTCGACCAGAAATGAGTAGAGTACGGATGACAAACAGAATTGATCGTACTTCGAATAAACGAAGGGTGATATGGGAGAATCAAGCCGCAGCTCCTGGGAAGGTGAAAACGGTATTTTGAGCTGCGATGGACTACAAGAAGGGTCGAATGCTTACAGGACAAAGAAGACGATAACAGCGATCATAGCCGGAAAGCGATGCAATTTAAGGCCAAACAAGGCGACAGTTTGCAACGCAGACGTGTAACTGTTGTATACTGATTTCAGTAGACGTGGAAGGGAGGTGATAATCACTCACTAGAAGAGTGTCAGGAAGTCCTTCGTTCCCTTGTTAAGGACTGCAGGCGAGCCGTAATATCCGCAAAAATACCTAAGTGAAGAGCAGAATGATGAATTGTTCGTGCACAGGAGAAAATAAGCCTCACATAAATAGGAGATTGTAGACAGCCCACATCCAGGCCGCAACAACCAACCACAGCTGGTAGAAGAGGGGGCGATCCCTGGGGAAATCATACATCACGAAGAGTAGCACGGGGAACGTGAGAGCTGGCGATACCTGAGCGCATATCAATACACTTTGAGCTCGAAACCGGGGCAGAAGGAGAATCAACATACCCCATAGTAGAATATCTTGTCTGCAATCGTCGGCGGCTTCTGCATGAAGCCAATAGCTAGAGCCCAGTTCGTGATTAAGAAGGCGGATGACCATAGCGCCAGATTCTGAGAGGAATTCAGTATCGGCGCGCATACAGGGAACACCACTTGCACCTTCCGCATGAACCAATTTTCCTTGCAATAGTGCATCTCGGACTTTTCGTCCATAAACCTGTTCACGAAGAACCCGTAAAAAACAGGCCAGACCCGCCATCGAAGACACAGCAGCAGCTGGCACGATGCCCAAAAACCATCTCCATGCAGAGACAAGCTTTCTCGGTCGGTGTTGGTGCCATTGAGATGGTTGCTCGACTTCTCCGGGGTGCCACCATGCTCCGAATGAGTAATTGAGGAGCTCTTGATTTCATCGGACCACTCTCGGTCGACGACGACCTCGTCGACCCCTTCTTCGTCCTCGCTCTGGACAATCTGCCGGGCTATCCCGTTGCTGTAGCTGTCTCCGCTCTCGTCTGGCTCAAGAGCGGAAGATGTTGATGGCGCAGTGCCAGTCCCTATCCTCCGCTTAAACTGTGCCCAATGCACACGGAGACCGGCGTTGACCCGCGCGTTCTTCTTCACTTTCCCCCTTTTTCCATAAGCTGACGCAGGGAGGGGCAAGCTGCTTTGGAGAGTCATAGGACTGACAGGGACGGTCGTCGCTGAGTTGGAGAACTTCTCAGCACTCGCCTCCACCCTTGGGCTGATGGGAGCCAGAGGAAGTTGAATGTCTTCTCTGCTACCGTTGGCGGTGACGAGCGACGTACGGGAGCGATACGGCATGGGGAAGCAGCGAGGTCGCCGGGCGCGACAGTGGTGAAAAACGGCGGCCAGACAGGCTCACAACGCCCGCCGACTTCTATGTACTGGACATGCACACAGGCACAGATGGCCTTTCCCCACAACCGGTAATCCCCTAATTCCCAGCTCTGGACGTATATTTCCGCGCAGTGGCACAAACACGTGTGGCGGTAACCCCGGTTTGGTGACATCTAGGCCATACGAGGCACAACCCGGCTAGGGGTTTTCATGGGTTTCCCTGAGCGCGTTATTTAACTGTCCGCGGCGGTAAATCGAGCGAGCCTTGGTGAACGTGACGTCAGATTTGGCTGGCTATGGAAGTTTATCCGCAAACTCGAACTCCCGTGAGCGAGTCGAGGTCGGTCCCGGCCCTTGCAATCCATCCATTCGATACATGTAATATTCAGCTCAAAGCAGTGCCTCTGAGAATTCGCGCTACAGCGGGCGGAGGACAGTCACTCCGCGGCTTGGCTGCATCATGGCGTGAGTTTCTTGCTTCAAAACTGATTCCCAGGTGTGTCATTCAAGTGTGCCGTTAGGTAACTCTGTGCCATCAAACTTTCAAGACTGCAAAAATTCCATGTCACCGTCCGAGTTGTCCTTGTAACTCAAGTCAAACCCCACCCCGGAATCAAAGCGGTATGATCGTCCGGCAGCACCCCGCGGGGGAGGTGTACGTTCACCGCGCGCGGAGTTGGGCGGAACGATCTGAGGAGATCGGATCCAGACGCGATCCAAATCCTCGGATTGGTCTGGTTCGACTACCGAGCTCGAACTAAACCCCCAGTGTAAGAAACTATGCATCAGCTCCGTGCCAATTCTTATAAACGGTGCCAAGTGTTCACTTTGTGTGAAGTCACTTATTGAACCCATCAGATAGTTGAAACTTGATGTGATATTGTTAGTCAGTGCAACACTTGCTGGATACGTTCCTTTTTTGATATTGGTTTTACCCGCGGTGCGCCGGTCGGGATCCGGATTGATTCAACACGGAGCCTCTCGCGTCGACTGTCCCCCTCCTCTTTCCTCGCAGGTATACCCACTGACAAGCTTCAACATCGGTAATGGACTCCCAGCCTGGATGCTTCTCTGGTCTCTTCTCATTCCGCCGCAAGCGCTCTGAAGCCTTGCTAGAGTCTCGCGGACAGGCTCATGATACTCGTGCGATCGCATTACCTGTCGCCGGGGTGCCAAAAGTTGAACTAGGAATGAGTGCGCAATTTGCAGCGTCTGAGGCAGATCTGGTGAGCATTTGGTTTCACTTATTCGCTTGGATGAGCGCGGGACTTCGCTACGCTGGCTTTGCTACGCTCGCCAAGTTACCCAGAAAAGCGGTGGTAGTGCACAGCTGTCTTGCATATAGAATCTGGACGTAATGTCCCGGTATTCCTTGTCGCCGAACGGCAATCCCATGCCAGCATTGAAACGACACTGACTATCTATGCTCCCCAGCCACCGTACGCTCATTTCTCCAGCACCTGCCTTTACTGTGACCACCGCGCGCACGCACCCTCCAGCACGCACGCGCGCTCTGAGAAGCCTCCCTCTTACAGCAAGGAAGACATCTTCCAGCCCGAGGTCCTCAAGACTATCGAAGACACAGTTGACAAGCTCTCTCCCGAGCTGCGAGAGCTCAGTCTCGATATTCTCCACCACCCCGAGCTTCAATGGGAAGAGAGGTAAGCCTCTGCCCCGTTCGCCTCATCGTACCATACCTGACGCCGCACGTTGCTCTGCGCTAGACGCACACACGACGTCCTCACCGCGTTCATGTCTGCCCACGACTTCAAGGTCACGAAGCATTACGCCGGACTGGAGACTGCCTGGCGTGCCGAGTTTACCCACACGCCTTCGTCCGCTGTGGGCAGCCAGGAGAAGGTACGCGTCATTGGCGTGAATTCTGAGATGGACGCGCTTCCCGGTGTTGGACACGCATGTGGGCACAACCTGATCGCGACAGCCGGTGTGGGCGTCGCGCTCGCAATCAAGACCGCACTGGAGAAGCATGACGTGCCGGGAAAGATCATCCTGCTGGGTACTCCAGGTGAGTCCGTCCGCCCCGATTGGGTGTTTTGTGTGTTTATGGATGGTTTCGGGGCCTATAGCGGAGGAGGGTGGCGGAGGGAAGATCAATCTTTTGGACGCCGGCGCGTACGAGGAAATGGATGCATGCGTCATGTGAGTCTGTGTCGCACATTTGTTCAGAACAAGGTTCTCAGCGTAATACTCTTAAGGTGTCACCCATCCGGTGCGGCTGTAAACACCTCGTCGCTTGGACCGTCGCTTGCTTGTCAGCCACTTGAAGTGGAATTCTTCGGACACGGGTACGTCCTATCCTCAACCTTGACCCCACAAACGCGCTAGCTGACTTCCCAACCATCAGCGCCCATGCGGCTTGGGCGCCTTGGGAGGCGCAAAATGCTCTAGACGCCGCATTTTTGGCTTATTCGAGCGTCTCTGTACTCAGGCAGCAGATTAAGCCGTCCCATCGCGTCCACGGCATTGTCAGCGGAAGGGATTGGGCGCCCAACAGTGAGTTAGATTCCAGATCGCCGATAGCGACTGTCCAACTGCGGAACTGCATTGGGTCCATCTAATTGACCACCTATAATCCAACAGTCATACCAGACTATGCAAAGATGCGCTGGATCGTCCGCGCACCGACTTGGGACGAGCTTGTTGCCCTCCGAGAGCGCGTCAAGGCGTGCTTCGAGTACGTACACCAGGTCTTAACGCTGTCTTCAATCCATTCACTCATTTTCCAGAGCTGCTGCCCACGCAACCGCCTGCAAAGTTACCATCGCTGCAGGACCAGGCTATTACGACCTGAGGCAGAACCAGATACTTGGTCTGTTTGCTCTTTTGCCGCGGATATGATGTCGACTGATGGTCGTCCTGTGAACAGGCGAGCAATTCGCACAAGTTGTTGACCGGTACGGCTTCTCTGCTGAATTTGATGAGGGCATGGCGGCTTCAACCGATTTCGTATGTTTACCTTTTCTGCGATCCAAAAGACTTTTAATCATGATCTCGTGTCAGGGCAACGTCACATACGGTGTGTATTTCTGCTCTGCGTCTTATGGTGGGCGTCATGGCTGACTACCTATTCCTCTATGTTAGCTCTGCCCTCGCTGCACCCAGGGTTCGCGATCCCGACCCCGCCGAACGGTGGAAACCATACCCCGCAGTTCACCGAGGCGGCCGGGACGCCTGAGGCACACACTGCGATGTTGGGCGTGACGAAGGCTCTTGCAGCAACTGGGTTCCGAGTCGTCGCCGATGCGGAGTTCACGATGCAGGTGTGCCGTCTACATGGTCTGAGGTTCGTACTAAGCTAACAGTTGTCGACCAGGTCAAGAAGGCATGGGAGGAGCAGATGAAGGAGAAGCAATTGTAAGATCTGGGGTGTGTAGCGGCGATGTAATCAAACGGTCGCCATAAAATGAGATCAGCTGGGACTAAGATGCGGTTGAGGGTCTTGTCGGACGATCCCTACCCTGGAAATTCTTGCATGTTGGATTGGCATCAAAATGAAGGCAGTAGGGACCAATTCAATGCTCTGCGTTCTGGATTTTGATCGCGGCTTAAGTCTGAACGGATGGACCAAACGTATGGGGGACTGATATATCGGATCGTGTTCATAGAGCCAATTTCAAAATGACCGTAAGATGATAGGCACATTTTCGAACGAACAGATGAGGCGAGTTGGCAACAGATGAGATGACCTGGGATGCTTCGAGATAGTGTCGTCTTGACTACTCAATTCATTATCATAGACACGAGGGTGAACAAAACTCATCCCTGGTATTGCGCGGCTGTAGGAGCTCGGATTCTATAAGCCACATGTGCACTATCAGCATGCCTACTGGAAGTACTGAGCGCTGAGCAAGCATGAAGGTTCGTGCAATATCAGGCGCACGGGTACGGTAATGAAAAACACCAAAGATAATCGACCTTTTCTATTACTACTGCTGGAGGACAGAATCTTCGACACTATACGTCCTGAGTACGACCATGTCTAAATTCAACAATCAAATTGGTCCGATATGTGTATGAACAAACTGAGCAGTGAGGATGCACATACAGAGAAGCCAACCAAAGTTGACAGTCCAACGGAAATTACATCATATGAGTGTCTATCTATGTTGTCTGAATGGTAACCCAACGTGAGCGTGAAAGAAGAATGGGGCCTGTCAAATTGTAGTACATGGAGACCACGAGGTCGGACGTCGACCCTTGCCCTACTACCATGTTGTGCCCACGCTCCAGCTGAACGCTGCATCTGTCGTCGACAAGTCTTGGCCGCGGCTCACTGGAGGAAGACTCGAACATCCCAATCTGCTGAAACTGCATGGCCGACAAGAACTTGTCTATTCTGTCATCTGAAGGTGCGAATCAGGAATATCGAGATGGGATAATGCGGTGGAAGTGCGCTCACAGTCCCATTGGGGAGAGAATATACGAGCTGCCAAGGCAAGTGCAACAGCCATATCGCCCAGTGCGTCTCTGCTCCGCGGAGGCGGTTCGTATACAAGCTGCCGTAGAGATTGGCAAGTCGGAGTGTCGCAAACCCAGCGAAGCAGTGCACTTGTCACTCGCCGGTTACAACCATCGATCTCGAGCTGCCGGAGACGCGGGAGATGGGTATGCAAGATGGGAGTTTTCCGACGCGACCAAGTTGTGCCTCGTGAAATCTTGAGGTGGGACAACTGGGGGAGCACATAGACGAGCCGCTGGAACTGGCGGAAGTTGACAAACCGGCAGTTGTCCAACGTGAGTGATGTAAGTGAAGTAAGCTGCGACAAGGAGCTCCAGAATGGGTGGCCGGGAGGCACGACCCCTTCTCGCCATCGTATGCCATCAATTGACAAGCTCTCCAACATCATAGAGCTTGTAGTCCGCAAGAAGATCGAAGGCACCGTATGGACAAATGGTCGGCTGTCCGGTGCGTGATCTTCAACAATAGACAGTTCGCGTGGTGACTGGTCTTCAGGGATGCACGCCTCACGGAAGCGATGCATGAGCATCAACGCCTCCGAGTGTTTAGTCAGGCGAATGTTGCGAAGTAAGTTGTACCGACTTCTGGGGAACCACGCGCGACAGACCAATGCACAATTGTAGAGTGATTGCCAGTCACCGTTGAGCAAATCGATGGTCAAGTCAGTTATCTCGGGAGGGAAGTTTTTCATGAACAACGTGAAAATACGTCTAAGGGTAAAGCGCATGTCATTTAGTCCCCTGGCGCAAATTTGATATAGTTGGACCTACTATGAAGTTTTATCGGCGCGTAGGGCCTGTAAGCATGTGCGACACTTGAAGTTTGAGGCGTGAGTCAGATGAAGACAAGACGTTGAGACGGGCCTTTACATGATTCTACGCGCTTGAGCCAACCACATATTGAATATCCTACATCGACATCGCGCTGCATTATGCGGTTTCGACGATGCCAATGAAGAGTAGCCATTGGGTCAAGACTGATTCGGACCGTGTTGTGTCGTACCTACGTGGCGATGTTGTACCACTCGGTAGAAGATGAGTGACCGTCTAGTGGATGTACAGGATATCACTGTTCCCGATGAGCAATGCAGGGACAAATCTGTGGATGCGTCCGGGGATATCCCTGGTCTAGGGTTGCCGCTGGTTGGCACACGCAGGTTGGCGTTCGCCGTCATTATAAGAGATAGCCCGAGTCGAGAATAAGTTCGAGTGACCGTATAGCAACACAAAGACCCATGGAGTCTACAGTGTCAAGGAGATTGAAGTAAAAACACAAAGGACTGGTGGAGGAGCGCGGTTACGGTCACGCGCCAAGTCCTGGATATTGTGTCGGACGTTTCGTGCTGAAGCTTTCGAAGCAACTTGAACTTAAGCTGGAGTCTCATATTGGTTCCCAGTCTGCTTACTGCAAAACATTTGAAGTGAGCCACCATACCTCAAAATCAGAGTACTGTTCTGGATGTTTGCTATCCTTTGCTTGCAACAGCGAAAAACAAAGGGTGCCGAGAGCACGCGTGGGGTGAGCCAACCACCCGGTGTTGCAGAGAGGAAAATGCTGCCGGCACAACCAGGGCCCGACAGTGAAATATCTTTTAGCCTGCACGGCCCCGCCGCGACAGCGGTGTTGGACACGAAACCTAAACCATCATCTGTTGACCCGATTATGACGGTGAGTCCACAGTGCACGATAGAGAGACAAGTCGGCTCCGCTAACCAGTGAGCCCCCAAATATGTCGAGCATCGTCATCATAATTCGTCGTTTTATATGTGCATCTATCACGCTTGCTTCGAAGGTCTTGCCATGTTCTGATTCTCTATTGGTCCAAGTGGCCGTCATTGTTTCATTTTCTGACGGAGGTGTCTAGTCCCGAACCTGGATTGACGTTGAGGATATTTT